CACAGTTCCCATCCCCATCCTTAAAGCTGCCTAAACTTTGAAAAATGGCTGAAGTCAGCTTAAAATGAAACGCATTCTGGGATTTGGGGGAGTTTTAAGAGTAAAAAATGAGAACAATTATCATCCTACAAGCGTCCTGTTTCTTTTGCTACCTTTAAAACCCTAAAAACTGAATAAAAAGGGGGTGAGAATTTCAGCTCTGTTCCTTGCAAAGCCAGGAGGCTGAAATACACTGTCCGCTTCTTCAAACATTGGCCACCACTGCCATAAACCATAGACTGCTGAAATCACATCTTTGGGACAGGTATCAGGGGGTCTGTGAACTTGAGTGGGGAAAAAGTGACTTTATTTTCACTAGCCTCTAACTGAAATTTAGCTTTTCATGCAGGCGACATAGTAATTTATGGCCTCTAAACGCCAAAACAGTTTCGCTTCAATAAATCTGTCTAAAATTATTAAACTAAAAAGGGTAGTGTCTTGGTATTGATTGAATAAACAAACATATTACTATTACAATATTATGTGTTTTTAAAAATATTTTGATAACTATGTCTGAGCACAATTCATTTCCTTTGCAGTACAATCTATCTATGCATTTTATATTATGCATTTAAATACATTGTTCTGAGGACTCCATATCTTTCACCAGATTTTCAAAGAGGTCGATGACACAAAAAAGTTAAGAACCACTGCTCCAAGCCAAAAACCTACCAAGCACACAATTTAGAAACACAATCAGCGGCTCCTTATTTGAAGTGAAATTTCAACCTGGAGTTTACTAGCTCATGTTCTCCGATTTCTACCCCTATATGGTTCTACAGCTTATAGTTGCTATTTAAAAATGTGGAGGCCCCCAAAAAAGGCTGGGACATATTCTGCCATTTTTCCTTCCCCCCAAAATAGCCAGCATTCTGTAGCCACTAATACACTGAGCCTTCATATGTTCATAGTTTTCTCTCCCATTTGTCCTAGATACTGTGCCTTTGCAAGATGCACCCACATCAATATTCTTCTCGTTTTGTCAGAACCCCTTCTTTTAGCTCCCTAGCTGTTAACTCAGCAGGCATTTGCAGTATATATGATACAATTTCATGCTGTATTTGCAAGAAAATGAGGTTGGAGGATATGTAGCTAACAGAACCACCTTGCAAGTAGAAAGCTGCCCTCGCAAGCACAGTAGAGTCTATCTGAAGATTTCTCCTTAATATGCTGTTTCATTTGCATAATCATTAAGGCAGGACATCTTAGTATGGTTTGTGGGTACAGAAAACTATTTCTGGGCTAAGCAGAGCTTTCTGTGGACAATTATTAAGCAGTCTTAGCATTTTCAATATTCCCTACAAACTTTTTTGCGATGCCCCCCGCCACTACTATTCCAAGCTCACTTGACTTCATTGAAGGCAACGAGCACATCTGTGCCAGTCACAACTTTTCCATCCATCACACCACACTCCTTCAACATCTTGTAGAAGTTCTTCCTAGACATGGTGTTCCTGTGAGAAGTGGTGTCTCCATACGCAGCAAATCTAAGGAAAGTTTTTTCCAGTTCTGACATCCCTTCTGCAGGAGTGAAGGGGACACAATGTCCTTAGACAAGGACTTACAAACCATGTCACAAAGGGAAGAGGGTGACACCTTCTGAAAGATAACCCAGGATCCCTTGCTGGAAAACAGCAATGGGACCTGAAGACAATCTCTCACCAATGAATGGCTATGACACCCATTCTCACTTTTTGCTGAAAAAGCCAGTTTTTCTAAATGTATACCATCCTGAGCTTGCATTCATTTAGTTAAGAATACCAATTGTTCCACTATCTGAAGACGCTTCCATTACAGCTGTGTAGCTTCATAAGGGAAAATATAAATGATGGTTCACCAGTGATGAGTTTTAATCTTGCCATGAAAGATGTGCACTTTTACTGGCTTCTGGGAATCTTTGACAAAATAGCAGTTGTTCAGCTTCCACTGTAATGCCTAGGAAGGATACACTAAGCAGTTTGTTTGAAATCTCATTTTTTAAAGTATACTTTATTACAATTTTAAAAGCACATTACAGTTCAAAAAGGATAAGCATTTAAGTTTTGGCCTCATTTGTTCTGGTATCTACAGCATAGGGTTGGAAGTGACCTTGGAAACTTTAAGACGTGTGGACTCCATGGCTGGCTGGGGAATTTTGGGAGTTGAAGTCCACACATCTTAAAAGTTGCCAAGGTTGAGGAACGCTGATCTAGCCTAATCAGCATGAATTACAATCATATACCGAAAGGTATTTCTCACCGTCTTTGATCAATTGGGCCAATACCCAAATCCAAACCACAGATCTTGGAAATGAAAAATACACCTACTTCCCCACCAGCTGAGTTTTTCTTAGGTTGCAGAAAGTGCAGCCCCATTAAGTCCTCTTTATACACTGCCTAGAAGGGGAAGGAAGTCTACACATATAATTTGAAGTAGTGATTATGACCTTGTAGTTTGCCTATGAAGTCATCATCCATGTAAGCTTTTGATTCTCTATCAAGAAGTGAAGCTTTGTGGAAAGAGGCCTCTTTTTGACACATTTTAGCTTTTCTTTCTAATTTGCATCCAGGCTAGCAATAACCACAGGCACCTCAAAGTGATGCAATGTACAATGTGATGTGTGTCAGTAAAACCAACTGTGGAGTCCTTGGGGTTCTCTGAGCTTAGTTGTTTTCTTGCAATCATTTCGTTACCCGGCTAGGTAACGTCTTCAGTCGGGTAACGAAACGTTTGCAACAAAACAACCCATTTCAGAAAACCCCAAGGACTCCACAGTTCAACCCTGAGCTACACATATTCTTTTGTATTGAAACCATCAACTTCTTCATCATCTCAAGGATTCTATCATACACAAATAATGCTGACCTATTAAAAGATGAGTTTTAGGTTCTGGCATGTCAATATAGTAAAGAACTACCCATTCAAAACTGGAATTTCAAAAAGGTATTCCAAAACATCCTTTCTTCTAATGCTGAGTAATAAGTTGCACTTCTGAGCTATCCTTTCTCTGAAAAGCAAACTGAGTGTGACTCTCTCATCTGCAATCCATTTGAGAACTATTATACTAGGCTGTATCCAAACATCATTGTGCTTAGAACAGACCAATTTATTTTAAAAATAGTGGATGCAACCCACTGACTACAACAGTCTGCTCAATCTGATGCCCTCTAAATGTGCTGGGAAATTTCGTAGTCCCCCATCTGGAGTATAGGATCTGCAACTGTCTTGGTATTTGTGCACTAAACCTGTTCGCTACTCTTGGTGCTTGCAAAAGTATGAAAACTGAATTACAGTGGGGCAAAAAAGTATTTAGTCAGCCACCAATTGTGCAAGTTCTCCCACTTAAAAAGATGAGAGAGGCCTGTAATTTTCATAGTTCTCCCACTTAAAAAGATGAGAGAGGCCTGTAATTTTCATCTAGGCAAGCAGCTTGGTGTGAAGAAATCAACTGTGGGAGCAATAATTAGAAAATGGAAGACATACAAGACCACTGATAATCTCCCTCGATCTGGGGCTCCATGCAAGATCTCACCCTGTGGGGTCAAAATGATCACAAGAACAGTGAGCAAAAATCCCAGAACAGTTCTCCCACTTAAAAAGATGAGAGAGGCCTGTAATTTTCATCTAGGCAAGCAGCTTGGTGTGAAGAAATCAACTGTGGGAGCAATAATTAGAAAATGGAAGACATACAAGACCACTGATAATCTCCCTCGATCTGGGGCTCCATGCAAGATCTCACCCTGTGGGGTCAAAATGATCACAAGAACAGTGAGCAAAAATCCCAGAACAGTTCTCCCACTTAAAAAGATGAGAGAGGCCTGTAATTTTCATCTAGGCAAGCAGCTTGGTGTGAAGAAATCAACTGTGGGAGCAATAATTAGAAAATGGAAGACATACAAGACCACTGATAATCTCCCTCGATCTGGGGCTCCATGCAAGATCTCACCCTGTGGGGTCAAAATGATCACAAGAACAGTGAGCAAAAATCCCAGAACAGTTCTCCCACTTAAAAAGATGAGAGAGGCCTGTAATTTTCATCTAGGCAAGCAGCTTGGTGTGAAGAAATCAACTGTGGGAGCAATAATTAGAAAATGGAAGACATACAAGACCACTGATAATCTCCCTCGATCTGGGGCTCCATGCAAGATCTCACCCTGTGGGGTCAAAATGATCACAAGAACAGTGAGCAAAAATCCCAGAACAGTTCTCCCACTTAAAAAGATGAGAGAGGCCTGTAATTTTCATCTGAAAATTACAGGCCTCTCTCATCTTTTTAAGTGGGAGAACTTGCACAATTGGTGGCTGACTAAATACTTTTTTGCCCCACTGTAAGAGCCTCCCACATGTGAAGTATTTGCATGACAAGTGTGCTATATGAACCATGTCTGCAGATACAAAAATTGTGTGAAAACTCTGCTACAGCTTATATTGTACCTGTAGGTGAAGCCTGCGTAAAGCTAATGATGCCTGGCTAGATAGAAATGCCACATCAACTTTTTATACATGGCATATCAGTATGGTTCTCCATCCAGTGGCTGTCCAGGTGTTCAGTCACTGAAGAGACACTGAACCACCTGGGATAATGATATGGCCTGTTCTTCCCACAAATTGGGATGCTTGATGAACCTAATGAAATAGCTTGGGCAATGAGGCCACGTGGAATTCTCACTGGTCAAAGATTAGGGTCTACCAAGGTGGTGGTGCATGAAGCAAGCCATCATCCTTCACAACATTCCTGGGTGTTTCACATGTGGCACTTAGGATCATGGGCTTAATTTTAACTTTTTCAAAAGAACTCAGCATAGATTTCAAAACTCATGCTGGTTGTGATGCTAACACTGAAAGGAGACAGTACCTACATTCCATTAGAGAGGAATTAGGAGGGATTCCTGTGAATTTAATTTTACAAATGCTATTTGGGAGAGGCAGCTTAGAATTCTCAGTATCTGTAGTATGACATCCTCCAGTTTCAGAAACTGTTAGATGAGCTTAAGATCTCCCCAGAAGTTGGTACGGAAAGGCAATGCACAGAAATCCCTTCCCATATGCATTTTTGTTATTCTAGCTACCTCCTTTTTCTTCTACTTCATGGCTTTTCTCATGAGCTTTTTGGTGCTTCAGCAGCTGTACAAAGACATATTAAAAGACTGCATTTATACTGGGCAAGGTCAGGAGGCCACCACAGGTATGTAATTTCTTGAGTTGGATGCATTTCTGCTCCGTTACTTTTTCCTGGAATGAATCTGTCGATGTCAGGCAAGCTCAGAAGGCCACCAGAAACTTTTTCCACACTGAGGACAGATGAAGGATTTCTGGACAAGTTAGCACTTGTCACTGGCTAACATTTTTTTAGAATGAATCCATTCATGTCTGGCAAACACAGAAGGCTAACAGAAGCCTTGGTGCATTTACTTCTATTTTGGAGTAAGTGTGTCTATGTTGGGCAAGGCCAGGCTGCCTCAAGAATTTCCCAATATAACCATAGTTGTACTGTCGAATTTCTTGAGTTTGACATATTTCTCCCTTAATTTTTTTCTGGAATGAACGTGTTGATGTTGAGCAAGCTTAGAAGGCCACTGGAAGCTTTTTCCACACTGAACACAAACGAAGGGTTTCTGGAGCTTAATGCATTTATCACTGGTTAACAATACCTTAGAGTGAATCCGTTCATGTCGTGCAAGGTCAGAAGGCCACTGGAAACCTTTTCCACATTCACCACAGATGTGGGACTTCTTAAACTTGGTGCATTTGCTTTTGGCTATTATTTCCCTAGAATGAGTGCATTTATGTTGAGCAAGGAGAGAAAGCTGCTGGAAGTTCTTTCCACACTGAGTGCAGACATAGAGTTTTTGAAGCTTCATGCATTTATCTCTGTGTGACATTTCTCTAAAATGAGTGTGTTCATGTCGGGCAAGGTCAGAAGGCCACTGGAAACTTTTTCCACACTGATCACAGTTGAGCTTGGCACACTTGCCTCGCATTAATTTTTTTCTAGAATGAATGCGTTCATGTCGGGCAAGGCCAGAAGGGTATTGGAAACTCTTTCCACAGTGACCACACGTGTAGTACGTATTGAGTTTGGTGCACTTGCCTCTCACTGATTTATTTCTAGAATGAGCGCGTTCATGTCGGGCAAGATCAGAAGGGTACTGGAAACTATTCCCACAGTGACCACATATGTAGGACGTACTGAGTTTGGTGCACTTGCCTCTCGCTAATTTACTTCTAGAATGAGTGTGTTTATGTCGGGCAAGATCAGAAGGCCACTGGAAACTTTTCCCACAGCAACTACATCTGTAGGATTTATTTTTCTCAGTCCACTGGTTTGTTTTCAAATGGGAAGGTTGGTCGAATTCCATGAGGCCAGGTATAAGACCAGTTAGCAAGCCATTCTGACCATCTATCTTTGATGGGCATTGTTTCCTTCCAGTTTTGCCAGAGTGCACAACTTGATGTCGAGCTAGGGCAGATGGCCATCGAAAGTCCTTCCCACATTCCTCACACATCCCCAGACTCTTGACATGGGAGCCTTGGTTT